ATTTTGACAATCCACCCCAAGTTTCCCTCTCCACTGGTGGGACCCCAATCAAGCTGCAATTTTCTAAAAAGCACTGGAATCCAGTTCGTAGCCCCTGTGGCTCTTGAATTGCACCTGTGTGTCCTTCTGTTGTTTGCCTGTTTGTTTTGTTGAGCCCTATATTTTATTGGAGCCCCTGGCTGTGTGTGTATGTACCAGCACATCATCCGTAATTCCATTGCATAGGGACAGGAATATCGACTGTTTTTGGGTTTCGGGGGTGGGGGGGGGGGGCGTACAGGTTTCTCCAGGGCAGCTGTATTCTCCCAGGGTGCACCTCTCTGAAAATATGCTGATGACTTTGTAGCTGGGTCAGTTCGATTTAATGCCAGACAGCGGCGATGTTACTCAAACTGAAATAAAACAATTTTCGAAAAAAGAAAAAGTACTTCAGGTAATAAAAGGGAGGGAGGTGAGTGGAAACGGGAAGGGGGGGGGGCGTGTGAAACAATGATATCTGGCTGAGTGATTTAGTCAATAGGAACTCAATTCAGGGAGGCTGCTGATGCCGATTTCAGGCATTTTACAGAACTATTCTGCTTCGCTCTGGGGTTTCCCTGAAACTCGCGTTGATTACTTTGAGAGCCTAATCCATTTTCATGTCTTATTTATAACAATGTTCAAACTTTGCATGCTGGTAAAAGCTTTTTAAATCATATTACATATATTTGTCAACAGCAAAAAGATGGGGGGGGAAAACAGCTCGTGTCATTTAGTTATTTTTTATTTTATGTAATATTTGCAGCTCATTCGTCCTAGTGGCTAAGTGGCAGATTTCCAGCGCCAGGACTGCGGAGTAAGATTTGAAACGTTGCGGGGGACGCCGCTGAGGCCAGCCCTACATAAATCTGCCCACAATATGGCTCACGGCAGCCTCTGTTCTTCCCTGCCTCCGACCACCGAAACTCGCCCGCTGTAAATTCCGCCTCAGTTCTCGTCGATCTTGATATGCTATGCTAACATTGTCTCAACACACAAATCAATTTGATGCATGGAGCCATACACCAATAAGGCAGCGGGGGCGGGGGGAGCTGCGGAGAACGCGGCCGCCGTGGGCTGTGTCTCTCCTCCCGCTCTCTGGCACAAAGGGAACAGGCAGATGAGATTAAAGACGCAGAGCGCGGCCCCGGCAATCAACATGGAGCACCGCGGTGCACGGAACCAAGCCGCCACACGCTGCGCCGAAAGCATGGCCCTCCTTAAGAAAGAACCTCAGCTTAAATGGCAGCGTGGGGGTGTGGGGGGGGTGTATCAAGCCAGGCGGGGAGTTCCACAGTTCCGCCTATGCCAAAGAACCAGCCAACAAGATGTTCCTGTCATGGACACACCAAAGGAAATGCATTCGCAGTCTGTTATTGCTCCTGAGCATTTCTAAGCTGGCACAGCCCCCGCATGTGGAGGAAGGGTGGGGAGTGATGAGCATCGCTGACCTTTACTCATACGGTGGGCCAGTGTATCATCTGGGGCAAACAGGAGCAGGCAGGGCAGGAGAGAAGCTTGGTAGTAAGGCTTACTCACTCCCTCATCCTCACAGAAACAGATGGGATTGGGGCAGATTGTTTTCAGTGCAAATGCCATATATATTATTACTACAAATTATGGGGGTTAAAATAGTGAGAATATATTTTCTCTGGCGTTCGTATGTGGAGTTTGCATGTCATCCCCCTGTTCCGTGGGTTTCCTTTGTGCGTTCCACTTTCCTCCCATAGTCCAAAGACAAGCGATTAGGCAAACGGACATTGCTCAATTGCTCATTCAGGGTGTTTCCCAGCCTTGTGCCCTGTGCTGTTTGGGATAGGCTCCAGGCCACCCTGCAACCCTGACCAGGATAAGCAGTTGGAGGATGAATGGATGGATGGATGGATGTACAAAAGTATTGGGACACCTGGCCATTATACCTATAGGAACTTCTATGACATTCCATTCTAAATCTACAGGATTCAATATGGAGTTGGTCACCCTATTGCAGCTATAACAGCTGCCACTCTTCTGGGGAGGCTTTCCACAAGATTTTGGAGTGTGTCTGTGGATATTTTTGCCCATTCATCCAGAAGAGCATTTGTGAGGTCAGGGACTGAAGTTGGACATGAAGGCCTGGCTCTCGATTTTGATTCTAGTTCATCCCAAAGGTGTTTGATGGGGTTGAGGTCAGGGCTCTGTGCGGGCCAGTCAAGTTTTTCCACACCAAACTCACCCAACCATATCTTTATGGACCTTGATTTGTGCACTGGAGGACAGTCATGCTGGAATAGAAAAGGTCCTTTCCACAAAGTTGGAAGCATAGAATTGTCCAAAATGTCTAAAAGGGAATGTTAGTTCCCTTTGCTGGAATTAAGGGGCCCAGCCCAACCCTGGAAAAACAACCCCATACCATTATCCCTCCTCCACCAAACTTTACAGTTGGCACAATGCAGTCAGGCAGGTAACGTTCTTCTGGCATCTGCCAAACCAAGACCCATCCATCAGACTGCCAGACAGAGAATCGTGATTCGTCACTCCACAGAACATGTTCCCACTGCCCAGAGTCGGCGTGCTTTACGCCACTCCATCCAACACTGGGCATTGTGCTGGATGATGTGAGGCTTGCATGCAGCTGCTCGGCCATGGAAGCCCATTCCATGAGGCTCCCAGTGCACAGTTTTTGTGCTGGAGTTAATGCCAGAGGAAGTTTGGAACTCTGCAGTTACTGAGTCAACAGAACCCTGGAGACGTTTACGCACTATGCACCTCAGCACTCCTCAGCTCTGTTACTTTACGCTGTCTGTCACTTCGTGGCTGAGTTACTGTTGTTCCTAATTGCTTCCACTTTGCAATAGCACCACTTACAGTTGACTGGAATATCTAGCAGGGAAGAAATTTCAGGAAAAGACTTATTGCAAAGGTGGCATCCTATGACAGCACCATGCCTGAATTCATTGAGCTTTTCAGAATGACCCTTTCTTTCATAAATATTTGTAAACCTGACTGCATGGCTAGGTGCTTGATTTTATACACATGTCAGTGAGTCTGAATGAAAGACCTGAATCCAATGATTAAGCGGCATGTCCCAATACTTTTGTATATATAGCGTATTACATGTATTTGTTGTTCATGTGTGTATTGCAGTGGCAAATGCTTATAGTCAGTAGGTGGCACAATGTGCTGCTTTTTTCTCTTGAATGGGACTCGCAGTAAACAGCTGTTTACAATCAAGGATGGTTAATACAGAGCAAACAAAACAACAATGTTTTATTCTGTCCTTTTATTACTTTCATCACCTTGGTCACTTTTCAGAATAAACAAGAATTACAATCAACAAATAAAAATTCTGTTAGTCCCCATTAAACTTCCACAGCCTTTCGAATGATGACAGAAACACCAAATTAAAGACAAAATTTTGTAGTTTTCATATATGTTAGGGAACATATGTCTCATTATGGGTTTATAATTGAGGACTCGGATGCAGACAGAAACAGCTGCTGTACTGTTAGGCAGCTGCACCATGTAAGCTGGCTTGTTTGGATTTAGGTGACAAAGCGAGTCTGGATCTGATCTTGGTGTGGGAGCTGGATATCTTCCCAGGCTTGCACGTTCATCAGGGCACTATCCATTAAAATTCTTATTAAAATCCTTGACTCTGTGTTTTCCCAGCCCCTTACCAGAATATGGGGATAGCTTTACTCTACCAATAAACGATTTAATGATTTAGAATGAGAACATGCATAGCTGACCCATAATGCACTGGCCCCAAACGTCCCCGCAATGTGGTTACTTTTTAGCTTGTGGTGCGGACATTATTTAGGTCCCCACAATATAAACCTCAATGTTTTGCAATCAAAAAACTAAAAAAGTCTTGTATTTTGTTTGGGTACTTATGGGGTACTAATTGGGTACATTTTTCCCATTGAAATGAATGAGCAGTCCCCATAAGGATATGTTTACCCTACATGTGTGTGTGTGTGTGTGTGTGTGTGTGTGCCCTTTGTTGCACTGGCACTCCCCCCGACATTTATTGCAATGGACTGTAACTGGAAGCCCGTCCTGGGGTAAGTGCTTCGTTACATATTCTGGTAAAGACTCCATCAGCCCCCGTATGCCCACCAAACTCCACTCCCAGAGACTATCCTGGATTAGCAGGTGGAAAGTGGATGGATGGACTCAAGACCAGCATTTTCTCGAATGTAAAATATGGAAATGTATTTTCCTGATGATTCACTAAGTAACATTTCAGCTGACTACAGAATTTTTCCCAGTAATATGTCTTTTATGAATGCTACTTTTAAGTGCTGTGTACACGCTTGAAATGTTGTGACTACTACTTTCTGTTCATTTAACAGGACAAATTATAGCATGGGCAGGTTCTAGCACTAAGTACTCTCAGTACAGTACAGTGAAGCAGAGGGCCGAGATATCTGCAGGTACCATGTATTTGGGTCACATTGCGTTGTGGTGTTATAAATATGTTCATTAAAAAATACAATCCAATATTCACATCTGTACATACTGTTTGCTTATAGACTGCAAAACATTTACCACCAATTACATTCATATATTACCAATAATCCTAAAAAATATTTTATAAGCTGCATTTAAAATCAGGCTGTTAAGTGGTCACTTCGAGAATGGGTTGGCAAACGCATCAGAATTTTGCGGACGTGAAAAGCACCACCAAACCTGCGTTTTACTCAGATATCTTATTTACTCCCAAGTGTCACGCCTTTGCAATAAAACGAACAGCTAATGTTTGGTCCGTCTCTAACAGCGGTAATGGGCTCACTCACGAAACTGGTCTAAACATCTTTCCCTGAGAAAGCCTGCCTTTGTTTTCTGAACATTGCCTGTGTGTTAGGAGACATAATATTTGTCCTTTCAGTCAGATAGGACTAGAGAGTAAGCATGAACTGTCTCCCCGGAGTGTCTCCAGTTTTTCTGGCAGATACAGCAACTCATAATGAACCAAGAGCAACAAGGACACACCCAAATAACATCAAACGATTTATTATTTTAGGCTTACGCAAAATCAATATAATACGATCCTCTAACATATATGATGTTCTTTCAAAATATCTTTTTTATCTTTCAAAAATGACTGACCAGCAGAAAGGAATAGGTGTCCTGTATAACTAACAGAGAGGGAAAAAACGATTTACAGCTGTGTTTCGCGTTAGGGGGCTCAGGGATCCCTGTACGCCATCTGTGTAGTACTTCTGACACAATCAGCTGATAGTCTTGGATATTAATCTTTGGTAAGTGCTTAAGACTGGAAACAAGAGAAACCCATTCAGACATCATTTTACAATGGGATACATACTGAGAAACATATCAGTTTACAGTGCAGTAGCAGAACCGAAACTATCTCTGCATTCGTTTGTTTACTTCTAAGAACTGGCACATTGTTACTTTGTAACTCTGCTTCCCATCACATTCCTTATATTTTTACAATACATGAAATTGTACTGATAATTGAGAGCTGGTTAATCATCAGTGTTACGCTAATTGAGGAACCCCTTACAATAGAATGCTGGAATTTAAAACGCAAAAACAACGTGACCTGACTTTGTGACCTAACAGATTATTTTAGCTTGTTTTAGCACCATAGCAGTTGTTGCCACATTTAAAAAAGCATCGATTACTTTCAGACAATACAAGATCAGGATTTGAAGTACTCGCAAACTAAAATGCACCTTGTCCGCAGTTCCATAAACCCTAGTTCCAGTCATTGTGAATCCTGGAGCGATCACACACATCGAGCTCAACAGACAGTTCAGCATGAGACACGCCTCCTTAAATACAAGGATATTTCTCATCTAAACAAGTATTGATCAGAGAGGGATAAACGCGATGGAAGTACTTTGAATTATTCTTCTTCAGTAACACTCATTCTCTACATCGCATTTATTGCCACAATGCAGAAATTTGCGTCACTTCTAAGCATCATCTGTGAGTCACTCACATACCATAAAGTGTGCAGTTTAAGGTAAGACTGACACACTTTGTAAAGTGCAAGCCTTAATTCTGAAATCCAGCTTCAAATAGTCTCTAGTAGTTGTAAAAATAATCTTCCACACATTTTTCATAGTGACAGAAAAATGCTCCGGCAGTAATCTTGATATCTAAATGCATAAGTGAAACAAATCTTCGGTTGTAGAAAAGTACACAAACAGATGTTGTTTGTGATTCTGCCAGGGGCTGTTGAGTTTGAACACTGTCAAATCCATTCAGAATCACTGTAGGCAGAAAATGAATGCAATGAGCCAAATGCACTGCGTGTTCAGGAGAAACAATACCAGAAAAAAACATTAATGCTTTGTGCAGAGTGTCTAAATTATTTTCAAACTCTATATCTGAGTTTTTGTTGCATTTTGCACTAATTTATACTTTCTATAAGGTATATAATCACATCTAGTTGTATCATATTTTTATAACATCTGCCTTGGTCTAGATTCTTGTGTAACTGTGTGGAAAACACTTTGGAAGAATCTACAACAATGCATGTCACTGAAGAAGCTTATAAAATATTAAATTATTTAAAAAACAACCATAACAAAGATTTGTGGTGCCAGAGCAGATTATCCCTCAGTATTGGCCTTGATGAGGTGACCACTGAAGGTGATGTACGTGTCAAAGTCATCGCTGAAGACGGCGTTCTCCCTCTCGCCCTTGAAGAGGCGCACCCACACCTCGTCGTTCTGCGCCAGGTCCAGCATGAAACTCTGGCTCTGCATAATGCTGCGGTCACTGGGCTGAGTGTACAGGATCACCATCTCCTGCTCATTCTTCATGATGTGCAGGTAGGTTTCCTTCTGGTTCCACGTGTGCACGTTCAGGCTGAAGAAGTAGACACCAGGCACGTAGCAGTAGAACTTGCCGGTGAACATGTTGAAGTGGTTGTAGAGGTTGACGAATTCCGTGTCGAAGATGAGAGTCTGGTAGTACTCGTTGCTGTGCAGGGCCTTCTTGCGGCCCACGGAGAAGGCCGCGTAATATGCCTTGCAGGCGTCCCCGGGGACCCCTATACTGCCCTTGGTCCCCTTCACCCCATTGGGGCCTCTTGGACCTGCATTGCCAGTCTTTCCAGATTTTCCATAGGGACCTCGCTCACCAGCGTCTCCCTTCTCACCTGCATACACAGATGGTCATTAGTAGAGGTGGACATTTCCGGTCCCGAAAGTAAAAATCCAAACCAGGATTTTGTTTCAACCTACCAGTTGAGTACCCTGTGAATGTGACTTTTTTATGCTCAACTGGTTGGTTGAAACAAAATCCTGGTGTGGATTTTTACTTTCTGGACCTGAAATGTTCACCTCTGGTGCCGGATCTGTAGTCTCAGTGAGACTTTCGCTATAACACCATAAGTATTAAGCAACACATGCTTTCCTGATCTTTGATTTTTACCTGCATCACTGGGGAGGTACTATCACTGTATTACTTTCTGGTTTGTTTTCTTCTATGAATCTATGCCTTTCAGTAGACAAGCAAACAGAAACACTAAGAACGTATTGCACCGTCTGTGCGCTGCACTGCTCATTTACATAACTTTATATGGGTTTGAATGAACAATGGGTTTGAATGAACAATGGGTTTAAATTTAAAAAATTATCACGGCATCTGCATTCAAGTTAATAAACCAAACTTCCTACCACAAATCCATCCTTTGTTTGACTGCTTAGCCAGTACATGGTCACAGGCTGCATCCAAAATCACACACTACGCACTGTGTACTTAAATGAGGAAAAAGTGCACACTACAGCAACGGTCACTTAGTACGATTCCTTAGTGCGCACGTACAAAACTTTGTACACTTTCCAGACCCACTACATTACCTTTTAACTGCTGAACTTTGAATGTTAATGATGGTTTGACGCACTATTTAATGTGGAAGTGTGTGATTTCGGAGGCAGTCATAGTGTTAGCCTGGAAGCTGAGCCAGGACAGCTAAGATGCAGGGCAGGGATCACTCTGCTGGGGCACCAGTCCATGTTTAATGGCGGAAAAATGCCAGCAGATACATTTTAAAGTTCAGCACACCCTTCATAATACAAAATAAATACAAAATATGTTATCTACTGTCTTTATTCACTGTCGTAATGCTAAGCAGATAACCAGCCCTCCCCCACTTTAAGTTTAGTTAGCCTGTATTCCAAATTAGGCCTAATTTGTTTTTCAGTTGAATATTGTTGGTTATTAAAGATGGAAGATCTAGCATGATTTGTCTTCACTTCAGCCTTTAAGTGAAAGGGGCTTTTGACCTCCAGTGTACGTACCTAGCATGCTACGCTACAAATCACCTCATAGGCAGTTGTTTTAGTCAGATACCAGCGAGGTTCATGTTGTTGTACCAATTAAAGTAGCATTTGATGTCATACTGAAATAGGTTCTTGGGCTAGCCAGGAGTTGTGTGGCTTTAGAACATCACTTAGCTATGCAAAACATTCGCTGTGTGGTTCTGGAAGGGCGTGGATTCTGACCACTGTCCTTCGGAAGAGAGCTGTCCTCCCCCCTCTCATCCCACTAATCACTCCATTCCAATCAAGCCAATTTCCTCTCTGCCTTTGCGTTGGTCATTGTTTATGTGCTTAGAAAGGTTAAAAGAAGGCTGAATACAAGACTTAAGGACTCCCAGTGATTACACAGATTTCTTAGAATGCAGACACGGCCGCAGGGAGCGCAGCGGGTAAAGACCCAGACTTATGAGCAGTAGGATGCAGGGTCAAAACAGAAGAGGAGGAGGCAGTGTGTTGCTCACTGGGTTAGGAATCTTTGCCAGCGGCCCGGTGGTTCTGATTTCAAATCCCATGGCTGGCAAAGTCAGCCTAATTGTATCATAATTGGGCTCTTGACTAACTTCGTCAGGGATGCTGGCTGATCCTGCTCCCTAACCCCAAAGATTTCCTCACTCACGTATCTCTTTGAATATAAAATACAACTCTTCACAGTGCCTTGAGCTTCTTGCTCGTCAGGTCGGCTCCCTTTCACAGTTTCCCGAACTCCTCCGGTCCCTTCACGGAAATTGGGACCGTGAGCAAACCCGTTGTAAGGCCCCTACCTTTCAGGATGGTGATGTTTATTTGTGGTACGATGTGGAATTGCGGGTGGGGCTCTGCGTGCTGCGGATAGTCCTCGACTGGGTCACAGCAGCGGTGGCACTCGGTTCTGCTTGGTGACAGCAGGGACACGGTGGTGTACTGAGTCAGTCACGGGGTTTCACTGCCTGGACGCTTACACGATGTGCCGCTGAAACGTCTCATGAGGGAACCCAACACAGGCTGACGTTCACACTCTTCAGGAGTGTATATTTGTCTTACCTAGCATCTCCGTCCTGGTCCCTCTGGTGGGACCCAGCCCCGTGGTCCGTGGTCCTGTACGGCCCTGACACAGCGCCCATGCAGAGGAGCATTGGCAAGCCCAGGCTGAAGATAAGGAGGAGCCACCCAAAGGTCTGCATCCTGTGGTGGGGATGGGGAGGGCGGAAACCAAGTCAAACTGAGAACGTCACTTGGCAACTGCATCCTGAACGATGGCTCTCAGAAGTGTACCACAATGCTTTGATTGCAAAAGATTTCTAAAAGTAACTTCATTATAGCAGTAAATAATGATTCATTGTCCGTAGCAACATTACATCCCCTCGCCTTGATTTTTTCAGATGCTCAGATATACATGCAGCTGGCACGGATTCAGAAGTTTGTTGTTTTGTGTTTGTTTCTCTTCTGTTACAGATGGTTTACTGCTCCATAATTGAACTGCAATATGGAGCCTTCAACAGTGCCAGCCAAACCCCAATGCATTCAGCGGCCCAAAAAGAAATTTAACCTCTAAGCTCTTTTTAGATGCTTTTGGAAAGGGACGGACAATTGGCAGTGGGAGCCTGTCATCAGTCTGTTTTCGATTCGCGAGCGATTCCAACTCGTGAAACATCGACGAGAAGCCAAGGAATATCGAGCCGGATGGGCAGTAGTGAAATGAGCATAGATGACAAGATGGGATAGGCCGTGGCTCAGATCGGCGTGCCTCTCGGGGCGCCTGCTCCTATCCAGAAGCATAGGGTCTGGTCAACACATTGAGGTTTCTTGGTGTCAGATAAGACAGTCAGCTATCAGTGTCTGCTAAGAGCACCTGGCTGAAGAAGGCTTACATTGGCTAAAAGTATTAGCCCGGAAAACAATAGCTGCGTAGAAATTTGTAAGTGTGGTTTATTTTATAATATTAAGGTACCATGACTTTCACAGGTGTCATGAAGTTCCTGGGCAAACAAAAAACACATAGCTAATTTAGCTCAGTTTTCATTCTCAAATGGTTCACTCTGGTATCTTTGAAGGGGCAGAATCTACACTGAACTTTTCCACACCCTGTTCCAGTAAGGCACAAGCATACTGGACACAGAGTAAACATTTCCAGAGACTGCACTGCCGATGATCCATAGTACAAAAGCACATGTTCAATGACATTGTGGCAGCAATAAATAGTAAAAATGGTGCGAGTCATTAACAGAGGCCAAGGAATTGTTTGTGCTGGCTGGGGTGATTGTTGGGCTGACAGTCTAATATGGTAAAAGGTTGGAAACAAGAATGCGGAATATGAACAAACAGTGTAGTCGCTGTCTGTGCAAATATAGTGATATAGGGATAGTGGACACCTTCTGGCAGAAACCTACCGCTCAACGAGGGCTTAGAGGACAAAGTCGCTTTTGAAACCAAGAAGACTGATTCGTTAGAAGCACCCAGCATTACATATCATTCATTTATCTATTTTCCAAACCATATGCCCAGGTGAGACATGTGGTGCACAAGCATAATTTTCTTGGTCAATTCTGGAAGGAAGCTCGAATGCCTCTGTGCTGTGTCGCTTAGTCCGCTAAGGTCTCCGGA